ACATCCCCAGTGGGGGGTGTGCAGGAGGCAACTGATGGATGTTGCTCTCATCGATGTTTCTAACTATCCCTCTCCCTTCCTCTCTGTAAAAAAATAAATAAAACATATTTTTAAAAAATCAATTAGATTCTTATACACTAGCAATAAATACCTGGAAAATAAAGTGAAAATACTAATTGCACGCATTTTTGATAGAAGTTTGTGCAATGTTCATGTAGTAATTTGACTCACTACCCATACCAATACTCTTTGACTTAGTATTTCTAGGAATTTATACTCCAAAAAGTGAAATGATATATGCACAAGGATACACATATACTATAGATTCTTTTATTATATAATCACAATAATGACCACAATGATGAAAAAATACAAGTGGATTAAAATGAAAAGGAAATATCCACCTGTGGACATGAGGGCTGCTTAAATAAACTGTAAATCTCTACTACCACATAGCAAAAGCAGTGGGAAAGAAGGAGGCAATCCTATGAGGACCTGCCTGCCAGGGTTTGGTAATGACGAGGATAATAGTGCCTTTTATCTGTCTGTTTGTTATTCCTCACCTGAAGATATTTTTCCATTGACTTTTAGGGAGAGTGGAAGAGAGAGGGAAAGCAGAGAGAAACATCAATGGGAGAGAAATGCATTGATTGGTTGCCTCCTGCATGAGCCCTGAACAGGGGTGAGGCTGGGGAAGAGACTGTAGTCAAACCTGAGACCCTCTGGTCCACAGGCCAACGCTCTATCCACTGAGCCAAACCAGCTAGGGAACTCCTGACTTTAAGAATGGCCCACAGCCCTAGCCAGTTTGGCTCTGGATAAAGCATCAGTCTGCAGAATGAAGTTAGGTTAAAGACACATGCCCAGGTTAAGGGCTTGATACTCAGGAGGGGGTGCTTGCAGGAGGCAGCTGATCCATGATTCTCTCTCATAATTGATGCTTCTGTCTCTCTCCTTCTCCCTTCCTCTCTGAAATCAATAAAAACATATTAATAATAAAAGTCAGCAGCGAGGCCTTGGGCACAGCATGGAAGACATAGCTCCCTCCTGTGGTCCCCCAGCCACTGGCTTTCCAGTTCCCTCAAAGTCCTTCTGGGGCCATGACGTCCTTCCTGTTATCTGCCCGGATACCTTTCTGCTGACCTCAGGCTTTTCTTGCTGTTGTGAATGACGAAGAGGAAGAAGTGCCATCGGCGGGAGCTGCTTGAGCCTCCCAGTCATGCCATGCCCCTAAGGCTTCCTCTCTCCTTTGGCTGTCCTGCTAGCTGTCCTTCTGCATGTGTGGGAGGTTTCTTAGTGGGAGGACAGCGAGAGGCAGAAAAGGGGGGAAGTGGGCGGTGCCTGGTTCACCTCTTCCTGTGTGAGATCAGTGTGCCATCTGAGACTCCTCGGTAATTCTCTGACACATGTGCTGTCATAACACTAGCACGCTAATGATAATGGGGGGACCTCTGGACCTCTGCCCTTCCCTTCTCCCGCCCAGTCTCTTTCTCCTCAGCCTGCACCTTCGTTTTCTTCCTGTTGGCTTTCTTTTTCTTTTTTTAAATAAGCAGCTAGCATGTACTGAGCGCCTCTTATGTGCCAGTTGCTGTTATAATCACTTTACCACTATTAACCCATTTGATCCTATTACTTATTCTCTCTCTGTCCTTTTTTTTTTTTTTTTTTTTTTTTTTTTTGCAAGACTAATATATATATATTTTACAGAGAGGAAGGGAGAGGAATAGAGAGAAACATTGATGGGAGAGAAAAAATCAGCTGCCTCTTGCACATCTCCCACTGGGGATGTGCTCACAACCAAGGTGCATGCCCTTGACCGGAATCGAACCTGGAAGCTTTCAGTCCCCAGGCCGATGCTCTATCCACTGAGCCAAACCAGTTAGGGCAAGACTAAAACTTTATAGCTCAATTGGGTCCCAGCACAGCTGTGAGGTGGCCCGGGGCGCCAGGCCCCTCTAGGGCTCTGCTCCTGGCCGGCCTGGTTTGCATTGTGCAGGTAGGCTCTGAGCTGTGCCAGTCTGCTCCGGTCTGCTCCCAGGAGACCTCTCCAGCCATGTTTCAGCTCAGCAAGGAAAAGACAGTCTTCACTCCTCTGTAGAAAGAGAAAATAGACTCCCAGAGCCCGAGAGTGGAGCTGGCTTTTATGGACAAAAGTCCATGCTCCTGCTCCCTGATTGGTCAGTCACCATGCAAATGAGGGCTCCAAATTCTTGCAGTTTGATTGGTCCAAAAGGCAATGTCCTGATTGGTCAGATTAGAGCTGCTCTGATTGGCTGAAGCTGCGGAAATCAGATTGGAAGGGGAAAGCCTCAGTCTTATTGGTTGAAATAGGATTTCCAGAACTTTTTCATAAGGGGCTGGCTTCTCCTTGAAGTGCAGTTTGCATGAATGGCTGGTTGGCTCTGTTATTTTTCACACTTTCTTATTTTGTTCAATGTCTGTCTTACCCTCTTTAGAGTGTAAGATCCATGAGGGCAGGGTTTTTGTCTGTTTGGTTCATCTCTGCTACTAGATATTTACTGCCTTTTAATAGCAGTGAAAACTGCCTCAGATTCTTCAGGGTCTTGGACCAGGCTACACAGCTCCCAAATGTTCATCTCCTTTTAAATTATTGATCATTTTATTACTGATTTTTAGAGAATGCTCTACAAAGCCAATTTCCTCAGGGTTATTTTCTTTTTGGTGGGGTAGGGGGATGCTTAGCAGGCCCCCTGATTGGAGGCTTAACTGGCAAAAGGTGAGGCCCTCCGATTAAGGCCAGTTTAGCACAGAGAGCCCTTGCTGGTTTGACTCAGTGGCTAGAGCGTCGACCTGCAGGCTAAAGGGTCCCAGGTTCGATTCCAGTCTGGGGCACATGCCTAGGCTGTGAGCTTGATCTCCAGCTGGGAGCGTGCAGGAGGCAGCCGATCAATGATTCTCTCCCATCATTGATGTTTCTATCGCCCTCTCTTCCTTCCCCTCTGAAATCAATAAAAATATATTTTAAAAAAAAACACAAAACACAAAAAACAAACAAAAACAAGGCTGTGCTTTCCAAGGCTGAGGCCGTGAGTGGGGCTAGAATTCTGTGCTTTCTTCATTTCCAAGCCAAAGTGCAATGTGTTTTTGCAGGAATGGTTCAGGCACAGGGGTTGGGGATCGGGGAGAAAGAACAGAAATCGCCAGACTTCACCTTCAGATCAGAGCAAGCAGCCTTTTGTCTGTTTGGTTCACTGCCGTAGCTTCTCTGAAGGCTCCTTTCCTGGGTCCCCCACAGTCCTGGGGCGGGACAGTCTGAGTTAGGATAACTTTTACTTGGCACAGATCCTTTTGTCAACACCAAAGACTCTGGACTAAAGCTTCGTGGAGGTCAGTCGATTGACCTGTGATGGCAGGTCGCGCTGTGAGGGACATGTGGGGTGAGCGGAACGTTCCCTCCAGGGGAGAATGGCACAGGCACATAGCCCGCCCTGCCCTGGCTTCTCTGGTGGCCGAGGGCCAGCTCCCAGGAGGCCTTGGGGTCAGGGTGCTGGATGGCAGAGCCGTGCTTACAAAAGTGACGGGTGCCGTCCCCTAGGGCTGTCTGTAGTTCACCTGGGAGAGGTGGCCTCGTGAATGAATATCCTAAAGAGGGGTGAGGCCTCAGTGGATTTGGCTCAGGGAATAGAGCGACAGCCTGCAGACCGAAGGGTCCTGGGTTTGATTCCAGTCAAGGGCATATGCCCAGGTTGTGGGCTCGATCCCCAGTAAGGGATGTGCAGGAGGCAGCCGACCCATGATTCTCTCTCATCATGGGTGTTTCTATCTCTCCCTCTCCCTTCCTCTTTGACATCTATATCTATCTATCTATCTATCTATCTATCTATCTATCTCTGTCTATTTATCTATCTATATCTATATCTATATCTATATCTATATCTATATCTATATCTATATCTATATCTATATCTATATCTATATCTATATCTATATCTATATCTATATCTATATCATCATCTATATCTCTATATATCTAATAAAAGAGTAATATCCTAATTAGATAAGATGTCCCTCCGGATGTCATTCTGGATGCCTTCCTGACAAGGTCAGGGCCGGAAAGAAGCTAGCCTATGTCCCCTGGTGCCTGCAGGTGGCCAGAGGGAAGCCAGCCCGGGTCCCAGGTGCCTGCCAGCGGCTAGAAGGGGGAAGCTCGGGTCCTGTGTGCCAGAGGGAAGCCAGTGCTGGTAGCCAGGGGAAGGAAGGCCTACTCTTGCATGAATTTTCATGCATCAGGCCTCTAGTATATATATATATATGAAGAGGGGTGAGGGGGTAATGTGCCCTCTATGAGGGCTGTGAGCCAGCAGAGGATAAAATAGCTATATTTTATCCTGGGGTGGGCATGGGGTGGAAGTGATGCCTGAGAGATCAGATCAAACCTCACCCAACAGAAAGCGCCCTGGAGGGCAGGGTCGGCCAGCTGAGTGCCCCGGCCTTCCCCTGTGTTAATGAGGAATCCAATGCCAGCGGCTGGTGTCTGGGCACGTAGGCCGAGGCAGTCACATCCAAGGACATGGATCACACCCAGCAGCCCGGGCCCTTATCAATGAGGGTCAACAGTCAGGCTTCCTTGGAGCTGGGAAGCGCCTGCAGGAGCCAGTGGGTGGTTGGGTGCATCCAGGACTGGGGGTCTGGCGGGAAGTGACATCCAGGCACGCCCCCTCTTCTCTGCAGCTCCCAGAGGGACAGACAGACATCGGCCCGGGCCCGTGGCAGCAGAAGGACAGACATCGGCCTGTGGCAGCCGGTCAGGGGACGGGAGGGAGGGAGGGAGGGGGAGAGGGGGAGAGGCCAGCCACCGCCGAGGCGGCATGCGGGCTCTGTAGATACCGCCGCCACCGCCCGGCCCCCTCCTTTAGACTCTGGCCGCGGCCAGGGACCCGCCTTATAAAGGCGCGGGGCGCAGGGCAGGGCGGCGGGGAGCAGCCGGGGCTGTGCGGGCTCCTCCTCGGGGTCCGGGGCAGGAGGAGGGGGGCACCACCATGGGCCGCTACTCGGGCAAGACGTGCCGCCTGCTGTGCATGCTGGCGCTCACCGCCGTGTTCTTCGTGGCCGAGCTGGTGTCGGGCTACCTGGGCAACTCGATCGCGCTCATCTCGGACTCGTTCAACATGCTGTCGGACCTGATCTCGCTGTGCGTGGGGCTGGGCACGGGCCAGCTGGCGCGCCGGGCGCGCCGGGGGCCGCGGGCCACGTTCGGCTACGCGCGCGCCGAGGCGGTGGGCGCGCTGAGCAACGCGGTGTTCCTGGCGGCGCTGTGCTTCACCATCGCCGTGGAGGCGGCGCTGCGCCTGGCGCAGCCCGAGCGCATCGACGACCCGGCGCTGGTGCTCGTGGTGGGCGCCCTGGGGCTGGCGGTCAACATGGTGGGGCTGCTGGTCTTCCAGGACTACAGCGCCTGCCTCGCCTGCTGCCGCCGCCGCCGCCGGGGCCGCCGCCCCCCGCCGCCGCCGCCGCCTCCAAACCCGCCGATCGGGGCCCAGGGCGCCTGGGGGGCCCCCCAGGGAGCGGCCATCGGGGCCCCCGGCCCGGACGCCGGCGTCACCGCGGAGAAGGGGGCGACCGTGTTCGCCAACGTAGCAGGTGCCTTTCGGGTGCAGCCTCTTCGGGCTTGTCCTCCCCGTCGCTCCCCCCTCCCCACATCACGTGGTCCCCTCCTTTTCTCTCTCTCTCTCTCTCTCTCTCTCTCTCTCTCTCTCTCTCTCTCTCTCTCTCTCTCTCCCTAGCCCCGTGGATCCGCTTTGCGTGTATTCCCCGCCCCCCTCCATCTCCCACAGGCCTTTCCGTACAGTATTGATTGTCTTGGAAATTAGTGATGATTGGGCAACAGATAGCACGCCCCACCCCTCCCCCTTCTTCAGATGCGAGCTTCTCTCTCTCTCTCTCTCTCTCTCTCTCTCTCTCTCTCTCTCTCTCTCTCTCTCTCTCTCTCTCCCCCTCCCCCTCCCCCCCACACACCTTTTGCCCATCCTTCCAGTTCCGCGTGGGAGTGATGGGTTTGGGGGTGGAGATGGGTTTCCCCACTGGCCTCTGGGTGTCACAGTGGTTTGGAAGTGTGAATGAGTCCAAAGGTGGGTCCCAAGGCTGAATGTCAAGGCCAGCAGGGCCTGTTCCTGGCTCTGAGCCTGTGTGTGTGTGTGTGTGTGTGTGTGTGTGTACAGCTGTGTGTGTGTGTACAGGAGTGTGTGTGTGTGTACAGGTGTGTGTGTTTACAGGTGTGTGTTTACAGGTGTGTGTGTGTGTGTGTGTGTGTGCGCGTGCGCGCGTGTGTGTAGGGGTCAGATAAGCTAGGAGGGATTTGAAATAACAAGCCTTTTTTTTTTGAGACCGTTGGTTCTTTTTGTTTGTAGAACTTATACACAACACAAGGTTTCTTCTTTGAATGCAGGTGACTCCCTGAACATCCAGCAGGAGCCCGAGGAGGCGGTGAGAAAGGAGAAGAAGTCGGAAGCCCTGAATATCAGAGGTGGGGTTGACCTTGGGCCCCCGGGGAAAGCCTTCCGGCGCTGCCCCTGGTCTGCGCTGCCCTCTCCGCTTTCTGCTCGCCTCCGAGCCCGTCAGAAAGCGTGCAGGCTGCGGGCGTAGACTATGACCCCGCTCTTGCCTCACCATCCCATCGATTGGGAGGGAGACACTCATTGCTAACCATTGACCCTTGCTCATTGAGACCCGCCCCAGTGCTGCCTGCTAAGAGCTTACAGATGGGTGACTCGCTCCTATTACCCTTGATTGTGCCCACCTGTGGGCATTGTTCACCTACCATGCAGCCCATTCTCCCTGAATATCATTCTGGTAAGGTGGGAAGTGAGTAGGTGGTCAGCTATGCAAGGTAGCATTGCTGAATGACCCTCATGGTCTTCGTTATTTCTGCCAAAAATCTACTTTCTTTTCTTTTTTTTTGTTTTTTTAAAATATATTTTATTGATTTTGTACAGAGAGGAAGGGGGAGAGATAGAGAGTTAGAAACATCGATGAGAGAGAATCATCGATCAGCTGCCTCTTGCACACCCCCTACTGGGGATATGCCAGCAGCCAAGGTACATGCCCTTGACCGGAATCGAACCCAGGACCCTTCAGTCCCCAAGCTGACGCTCTATCCATTGAGCCAAACCAGTCTCGGCTCTACTTTCTTTTTTTAAAAGTGTATTTTATTGATTTTTTCACAGAGAGAAAGGGAGAGAGAGAGAGAGTTAGAAACATTGATGAGAGAGAAACATCGATCAGCTGCCTCCTGCACACTCCCTACTGGGGATAGGCCCGCAACCAAGGCACATGCCCTTGACCAGAATCGAACCTGGGACACTTCGGTTCGCAGGCTGATGCTCTTTCCACTGAGCCACACCAGTTAGGGCTAGTTTTTATTTGATTATGAAATTAACTAAGGGGAAGGTCTTAGAGTAGAGCAGGATATATAGGCATCTCTAAATAATGAAATAACGTTTTTAAGCTGTGTAGTCTTAGACCCATCGAGTCAGCCAATGATGATGAAGGCTTTAAGCCTATTCAATAGTTTTTTGTTGTTTGTTTGTTTTTTAATATATATTTTATTGATTTTTCACAGAGAGGAAGAGAGAGGGATAAAGAGAAACATCGATGAGAGAGAATCATCGATCAGCTGCCTCTTGCACAGCCCCCCCCTGGGGATGTGCACGCAACCAAGGTACATGCCCTTGCCCGGAATCAAACCTGGGACCTTTCAGTCCACAGGCCGATGCTCTATCCACTGAGCCAAACCGGTCCCGGCCTATTCAATAGTTTTGGGGTTTGAAATGGTATATGACTCAGTGACATGATTTTGTTCTGGACAGTAGATAATCTGCTCTTCTCGGGAATTGAGGAATCTTCTTTTAAGATCTTTAGTCCCTCACCCACTATTTTTATTATTTTTTAATTTTTAAAAATGTTATTTTTCGCCGAAACCGGTTTGGCTCAGTGGATAGAGCGTCAGCCTGTGGACTGAAAGGTCCCGGGTTCGATTCCGGTCAAGGGCATGTACCTTGGTTGCGGACACATCCCCAGTAGGGAGTGTGCAGGAGGCAGTTGATCAATGATTCTCTCTCATCAATGTTTTTAACTCTCTATCCCTCTCTCTTCCTCTCTGTAAAAAAATCAATAAAATATATTTTAAAAAATGTTATTTTTCAACTACAGTTTACAGTCAGTATTATTTCTTATTAGTTTCAGGTGGACAGCCGGGTGGTTAGGCAATTGTATACTTTACAACAGGGGACTTTCTAGAGAGTGGTGGGGAGTCTTTTTGGAAAGAGAATTTGTAATAAAAAAATTACGATCTTTTTATTTATCTTCCTTGTTTCAGGTTCAGTTTAAAAAACAGATACTGTAGGTTTTTAATTTTGAGTTCGCCATCACATCACTTTAGGTCTCTGAAAGCACTAAAAGTAGTGATTTTTTTTTTTTTTTTTAAAAGAAAGGTTTTTATTGATTTCACAGAAGAAGGGAGAGGGGGAGAGAGAGAGAAAAACATAAATGAGAAAGAATCATTGATTGGCTGCCTCCTGCATGCCCCACCCTGGGCATGTGCCCTTGACCGGAATCTAACCTGGGACACTTCAGTCCACAGGTTGACTCACTCTATCCACTGAGCCAAACCAGCTAGGGTCAAAATATATTTAAAAAAAAAACGGAATCCATCCTGTCGCTCCTACCCAAAAGAAAACAAATAGCAACAGATCTTCACAGACTCGGGACCCTGAGCATGGAGCGTCGTGTGCGTGCCCCTGAACTTGGGCGTGTGCATGAGGGATCTTGCTTTCTCCCGGCAGGTGTGCTTTTGCACGTGATGGGCGACGCCCTGGGGTCGGTGGTGGTGGTGATCACGGCCGTCATCTTCTATGTGCTGCCCCTGGACCCGGAGGCCCCCTGTAACTGGGAATGCTACATTGACCCCAGCCTCACCATCGTCATGGTGATCATCATCCTGTCGTCTGCCTTCCCGCTCATCAAGGAGACCGCCATCATCCTGTTGCAGATGGTCCCCAAAGGGGTCAACGTGGAAGAGCTGAGTAAGTCAGACGGGTCTGATCTAGAACCGCTGTCCACTTCCTGTTCTCCAGGCCAAAGGGCACGCCTTATGTCAGAGCCGTGTCTGCTGCCATATCCTCAATGATTCATCTCAGCTGTGGAGACATCCCTCGGAGCTTAGTGAGATGAATCACAGCTCCCGGAACCAAAGGTCCTTTACAGCCTATGGTTCTGTGACTTACCTGCACATTTTTAAACCATGTATTTTGGCCCTAACCAGTGTGGCTCAGTGGATAGAGCGGTTTGGCTCAGTGGATCCAGTGTCGGCCTGCGGACTGAAGGGTCCCAGGTTCGATTCTGGTCAAGGGCACATACCTTGGTTGCAGGCACATCTCCAGTAAGAGGTGTGCAGAAGGCAGCTGATCAGGAGGCGTGAAGGAGAGAGAAACATCTATGTGAAAGAGAAACATCGCTCACGTGCCTCCTGAACGCCCCCTACTGAGGATTGATGCCAGCAACCCAGGCATGTGCTCTGACCTGGTATCAAATTGGCAACCTTTTGGTGCATGGGACGACACTATCACCTGAGCCACACTGGTCAGGGCACCCTGGGCATTTTTTTCTTGTTCTTAAACTTACTTTCTTGAATTGCCTTTTATGGCCTAAATTTCGGTAGAGAAATTCCAAGAGGAGAAAGATGATGGGGCAATGTACTAAAATAGCTGAGTAGGTGAGGCTATTTTTCTTCCTGTTATTCTTTTTAAAAATATATAAATTTTTTTTATTGATTTTTTTTTTTTTTTTTTTACAAAGAAGAAGGGAGAGAGAGAGAGAGTTAGAAACATCAATGAGAGAGAAACATCGATCAGCTGCTCCTGCACACCCCCTACTGGGGATGTGCCACAACCAAGGTACATGCTCTTGACCAGAATCAAACCTGGGACCTTTCAGTCCGCAGGCCGATGCTCTATCCACTGAGCTAAACCAGTTAGGGCCTTCCTGTTATTATTATTTAATATATTTTATTGATTTTATTACAGAGAGGAAGGGAGAAGGAGAGGGATAGAGAGTTAGAAACATTGATGAGAGAGAAACATCCATCAGCTGCCTCCTGCACACTCCCTACTGGGGATGTGCCCGCAACCAAGGTACATGCCCTTGTCCGGAATCGAACCTGGGACCCTTAAGTCTGCAGGCCGACGCTCTATTCACTGAGCCACACCGGTTAGGGCCTTCCTGTTATTCTTAGTGAATACATCATTTGCTCTTCCTTATCCTAGTGAGCAAGCTGGCAGCCGTGCCGGACGTCAGCAGCATCCATGAGTTGCACATCTGGGAGCTCATCAATGGGAAGATCATCGCCACCCTGCACATCAAGTGCCAGAAGGACAGGGGCTACCAGGACGCCAGCCGGAAAATCCGGGAGATCTTCCACAGGGCGGGCATCCACAACGTGACCATCCAGTGTGAGGCCGCGGACTCGCCGGAGCCCATGGAGCAGCAGAGCGACACGTTGTCCCTCTGCAGCTCCCCCTGCGTGTCCAAGGCCTGTGCCAAGCACCTGTGCTGCCCTCCACGGGCACTGCCCCTGGCCCACGTCAATGGCTGCGCCGAGCACAACGGCTATCCCTCTCTAGACAGGTACCAAAGCCAAGGTCTCGGGAGACCAGACATCTCAGAAGTGGCGATTGAAGTGTCTCCGGATGACCGTGTGAGTGGCCATGGACCAGCTTTCACTAAAACTCAGGAGGACCAATGTCATGCCAACAGCACCCATTTTTAACCCGGTCCCTGCAGAAGCAGACTAAATCGGCCTTTCCAATGACTTGGGACCTACAGCGTGGTGTTTGGGGACAGCCCAATGGGTGGCAGGCGCTGACCAAACCCACGGTGTCCACTCTGTGGTCAGTGAAGGGTTGGCTGTTGGGGATGCTCATGGACCGTGCCCTGGAGGTCTCAGGCTGCTATTCAAGAGTTTGCATTTGCTCGTTGATTTTTCTGGAGCAAACCCGCACTGTGGGTTGTGTATTCAGGCTGGGACTCAGTGACTGTGTAGACACGGGACTCAAAGTTGTTTTTGTTTCATGAGAGCTTCCAGCTGACTCTCAGGTGAGCTCATTGCCAAGTATATCACAGACACATAAGAGCTATAATGGCTGTTTTGGTTTTCTTTTTCTTTCTTCTTCTTCTTCTTCTTCTTTTTTTTTTTTTTAATATATTTTATTGATTTTTTTACAGAGAGGAAGAGAGAGGGATAGAGAGTTAGAAACATCGATGAGAGAGAGAAACACTGATCAGCTGCCTCCTACACATCCCCTTCTGGGGATGTGCCCGCAACCAAGGTACATGCCCTTGACCGGAATCGAACCTGGCATCCTTCAGTCCACAGGCCGACACTCTATCTACTGAGCCAAACCAGCGAGGGCTGATTTTCTTTTTCATTCCACTGGAAGATTATAAAAGAGGAAGAAGAGTCTTGTCACTGCAGCAATTTTTTCTTGGCATTAGTTTTGAATAAATGTGAAATGGATACCTATTAAGGTAGAGACCACTTTCAGGACATGAGAAAAATTGGGATTTATGAGAGGAGGGGACAGGAAGAAAATGCTATTGGGGCTTTTCATTTGGTGAGGTGGAAAGAAAATGAATGTTTCCGCTGTGAACTGGGTGTTTCAAATGTTTAAATATATAAAATATTTCCCTTTTTTTCCACTTGGAAATATAGGAATGTTTCTACCTAAGTATGACACGAGTGCTTTCATACTGTCTCTGAGATTCAGTCTATTGGGACTGCTTTCATTTATTTGCTTAAATATGACTTACTTATTTGTCCAAATTTCCTTTGAGTCTTTTTTTTAACATTTAAAAAAAAATACGATCACAATAATTTATGAGGCATTTACAGGAGAAAAATGAGCACTTCTGGGTAGAAGAATATATAATCAAATCTCATTCCTGCAGCCAAATTAAGCTAGGTTGATTTTTCTTTAATTAGACGTATTTAAAAATATTTATTACAATTGCCAACTAATAACTTGATGGAAAAGTATAAGGAAATGAGGAGGAATTTCATTGCTGACTTTACCAAATGTGTTTTGAGAAGCTTAACCTTCTATGTGCCTGACCCGTGTTACCAGGTTCAAATACATTTACTAGACTCTGATTCGGATCCATGACCATAACGAACTTGTGTTAGTATTAGACAAGCATCTGCCTTGCATTTAATACATAGTTCAGGCAGAATACTTTCCTCAGAGCAGTCTCAAAGTAGGTTGGAGAAAACAGGAGGTACCTCACAAGAGAACTAGAATCTTCTATGATGGGTTGTAAAGTTGACTGAAAATCATCCCCGCTGAGGCCCTAAGCATTGAATCCCGCAGAGTATTCATCAGAAATGCTGGGTTGGTAACAGAAAAATCACTCACATTCCCAGCATAAATATCACTAAAATAATAATAATAATAATAATAATAATAATAATAATAATAATAAATTCTAAGACTAAAAAGTAAGTAAGCATCTATCCTCAGTAGGGTAAGAATAGTTTTATTCCTTGAAAATCTATTATCTGAGTTTATATTGGCCATGAGTTAGGTAAATTAGAAAAATACCTAAATATGTTTTATCTCTAGGAGTTTATTGGACTGGGCTATATAATTCTTATTGCTAAAAAGAAGGGGGGGGGGAAGAGAAATATATGACATCCTTTTATTTTTATTTTTATTTTTTTAAAATATATTTTATTGATTATTTTTTTTACAGAGAGGAAGGGAGAGAGAGCTAGAAACATCGATGAGAGAGAAACATCCATCAGCTGCCTCCTGCACATCCCCTAATGGGGTTGTGCCTGCATCCAAGTACATGCCCTTGACCGGAATTGAACCTGGGACCCTTGAGTCCGCAGGCCGACGCTCTATCCACTGAGCCACACTGGTTAGGGCGCAAGTGCAATATTTGTGAGATGGGTTCGGTGCATTACTTACCATCTCAGGCCTTGTGGTGCCTGGTGTGGGTGTTTTTTACTTGGGTTTGCCTAAGCTTTAGTTGTCCTGCACTTTAATTCTCCCCAGGAAATGCCAAGGGCTCCTTTCTCCCTTGCAATCAGCCCTGCTTGGTGGCAGTAGCAACTGATAAACAGTGGATTTAACAACTCTGTTTTCATCTCTGAAATGAAAAAAAAAAAAAAAATACTGCCACTCAGTTTAGTGTCCCTGTGTACTTAGATGAATTCCAGAAGATTATGTCTCCTTTTTTTTCAGAACTGGAAATGATTTTTTATTTTTATTTTTTTAAAACATATTTTTTACAGAGAGGAAGGGAGAGGGATAGAGAGTTAGAAACATCAATGAGAGAGAAACATCAACGGGCTGCCTCCTGCACACCTCCCACTGGGGATGTGCCCGCAACCAAGGTACATGCCCTTGAACAGAATCAAACCTGGGACCCTTGAGTCCACAGGCTGACGCTCTATCCACTGAGTCAAACCAGTTTCGGCTCTAAATTTTTAAAAAATAAAATATCAATAAAATAGAGAAACATTGTTTTGAAGAGCAATTACAGATATTCTCCACATTTAGTTACCTTTTTTTGCCTGCCAGCTAACTTGAATTTTCATATGAGTAAATCAGAACTTCAGGAGGAGTGGATGCTGTGAAACTCAAAGAGTTTATTAGGGTCGATTGTGGATTATAACACAGCCGCTGCCCTGTGAGGGAGTCAGGGCTTGGGTCTGCCTTCTCAGTCTGGGCTTTGCTGACAGGTTGACCTGGCTGATTCCGTGTTGTGTGCGCCTATCTTGTGCCTTGCAGAGTTTTAGCAGCATCTCTGGCCTCATCCACAACATGATAGTATCACCCATTGGACAGCCAACAATGTCTCCAGACATTGCTACATGTCCTTTGGGGTGGGATGGGGGGTGGCCCTTGTTCTGAACCGCTGATTCAATCTTAGGGTGCGAGAGGGTTATTGTTGACAAAAACCCTGTCAACACCCAATAATTCTTGTAATATTATCAATTCTGCAGAATCCTCTCCTTTAGAATATATTGTAAAAGACGAGATCAAACTATTTATAACAATTGGAACTTGTAAGAATGACAATTTATAAGAATTGTAATTTATAAGAATTATAACTTATAAGAATTATGGTCATGCCATCCCTATGTAAGAACTTTAGATATTTAAAGAAAAAATACAATTTGTACAAAAGGCCTTACCGATTTGATTGTATAGAGCTGGCACTTCGACGTGGAATGATTGCTCTCACTAGTCTGTGATGATCTTGTCAACTCATGAATATTCTCAGCCTGATGCACCTAATCAGCCTGATGCACTACAAAGTGGCACCCAATGATATCAGACCATTGGGTCTTTGGGGTCAAGGTGCCTAATTCTCTGCCAGTTTTTTTAAAAAATATATATATATTTTTTATTGATTTCAGAGAGGAAGGGAGAGAGAGAGAAACAGCAATGATGAGAGGGAGTCACTGATTGGCAGCCTTCTGCACACCCCTTACTGGAGAATTGAGTCTGCAACCTGAACATGTGCCCTTGACCAGAACTGAACCCAAGACCCTTCAGTCCGCAGGCCGGTGCTCTATCCACTGAGCCAAACTGGCTCGGGCTCTCCCCCAGTTTTAAACTTCATGCTGTTTCTTGTTACTGGTCTATGACAAACAACTTTGCATTCCAATAGGAATCATCCAACAAGAAGGATGCTTTTTTTTTTTTTTTTTTTTTTTTTTTTAGGACCGAGGACACATTCAAGTTTTTATCTTTTATGGCTCACTTAACCCTTTGTCAAATCCTGTCCACCACCTCCACCACCCCCTCCCACTCCAGAGGACAAAATAATGCATTTCCTGCTTTGAAAGTATCCTGCCTTTAAATGTATCTGCACACTTTTGCAATTGAAGGCTGAAAAAAAAAAGGGGGGTGGGGTGGGGGTGGGGAGGCTGGTTGGGGAAAAAATGGGAAGCATGACCTGTTTGTGTTTGGGAATTTAGGCTGAGGAATGGTCACCGACCCATTGTCAGGTCTATTGCCACTATAGATCTGATACATGGTCACCTATCTGTGCCTCTCCGTGTATTTGCATGTGAGCAGCCCCAGCAATGAAGCAGGAATTGAATCAGGAAGTTGACTGCTCCAATGGAACTCGCCTCCAACCGTAACCCTCCTGTAATCTAAATGTTCTTCTATGAATTGGGAGTTTATGCAGGATGTATCGTTTTTTTTCTGGAGCGTCCCTTTGTAGGTGTTTTATTCTGGACCCTTTTGTTTACACGGAACTTTCTGGAATGTTGCTGGACGGATGGACCTTCTCTGCTTGGTCCAAAGCCAGGCCGGAGACTGGGCACCTGCTTTGCATCCTAACGGGAATCCTTCAACAAGGATGAGAATTTTTTTTTTTTTTTCTAGGAGAGCGACCCCCTCCGGGAAGCCTCCAGTTATGTTACAGTATTGTGGAGTTTTGTTGCTTAAAGTATTCCCTCTGTCCCCACCCGCGATGTTTGCCACAGTGTAATTGTCACATTTTGGGGGGAATTAGGAAAATGCTCAAATATAAAGTGGGAGTAACTCAGTGCTAATTGTATGTGAAGTCCCCCAGATCAATGTATGCGTACCTCTGACAGTGAAAGATTTTCGATGGTGCTGTAAATAAAAACATTTTGAAAAGCAAGCACACGGCTGAGATGTTTGTGGGAATTCGCCAGATAGCTCAATGACTTTGTCACTTACTCTGGTCAGTTTACTTATTTATTTTACTGATTTTCAGAGAGGA